AGGCTGTTCCAATGGATGATCTATCACAATTGTCTTCAGACTCCCCCACCATGATTACACAAATTCTAACGCTCAAATCATTACACTTTAATTTTAATCTGCAGTGATACAAATTGATTACAATTAACATTGACTACATCAGTAAAATTTACATCTCCTCCCGCACACTTTAAAATCTTCCCCAAGCCTAAAATCCTTTAAGAGATCCCTGTCTACATACCTCAAAACAGAATGCATGTGTCATGGTTGATTATATATTTCCTACCTGTTCCATGTTACATTTTGTATATATTGTGTATTAATATTGTTTTTGTATTTTATTGTACCATAATGTATCAATGCAATGTTTTGTGGACCTAGGACATACTTGAAAATGAGAGAAATCTCAATGTATCTTTTCTGGTAAAATATTTTATAAATAATAATCTCACAGAAGAACGTGATTAAGTGAAAAAAGAAATGTAACGCTTGGTCTGTTAGTCACAAGTTTGGTTTTATTTAGTAACCATATTTACAATTTAAGTTTGAAACTGATAAACACAGATTTTGTTTTTTCAGCACACAATCAATCCTAAACTCATACTTGCTGACACAAAATATACAAAAATATCAATGAAATCTGTTATTTTAGTTTAGTAAGCATAAGTAATATAATTTATTCTATATTAATTTGATAAAAATAACTAAAAAAAAAGACATACAACATCTAATTTCTGGCATTCTGACAGGTGTTTGTCACATGATTTCACCTAGTCTATAATTTATGTTTCAAGGGATGAAAAATTAATAAATTACTTAAAACTAATTCTAGTTTTTATGAAGTTGATTTGAGTTAATGACGTATGCTAGTTGTCAGATACGTTTCTAAAATTATTACAAATTAAGTTCTTTATGGGTAAAATGTTAATCTCTATTATAAAGATTTCTAAAAGCAACCATCATATTTTGTACCGTAATAAAAACTTGAATTTCCAAACAGTTAGATGTTGCAAAGTAGAGGATGTATTATAGCTAGTTTACCGAAGGGCAAGCTAATGAGTTCATCCAAGCTTTTGTTAATTCTCAGAGTTCTCATAGTCTCTGTTTTTGATGCAAGATAAAATGACCCAAATCTCAGTGAGGACTCACATCACCAGTGGAGTTTCATCACAGGTATTGCTGTATTGTACCTGGCTCCATGTATTTTATGGGTAGCTTTGTATTATATTCATTTCTGAGTATTGTATTGTATTTGAATATTGTATGGATATATGTATACAGGGAGGGAAAAAATGTATTTGATCCCCTGCTGATTTTGAATGTTTTTCCACTGACAGAAATTATCAGTCTATAATTTTATTGGTAAGTGTATTTTAACAGTGAGAGACAGAATAACAAAAAGGAAAATCAAGAAAAATGCATGTCAAAAGAGTTATAAACTGATTTGCATGTCAATGAGTGAAATAAGTATCAAGCAGTCTCTTATGTGTCTTTTATAGAGGTAACAAGCTGAGATTAGGAGCACTCTTAAAGGGAGTGCTCCTAATCTCATCTTGTTACCTGTATAAAAGACACCTGTCCACAGAAGCAATCAATCAACCAATCAATCATATTCCAAACTATACACCATAGCCAAGACCAAAGAGCTGTCCAATGGTGTTAGGGACAAGAATGTAGACCTACGCAAGGCTGGAATGAGCTACAAGACCATCGCCAAGCAGCTCGGTTGGTGCAATTATTCGCAAATGGAAGAAACACAAAATAGCTGTCAGTCTCCCTCGGTCTTGTGCTCACCTCTTGGAGTTTCAATGATCACGAGAATGGTGAGGAATCAGCCCAGAACTACACAGGAGGATCTTGTTAATGATCTCAAGGTATCTGGGACCATAGTCACCAAGAAAACAATTGGAAAACAATTGGTAACACACTATGCCGTGAAGGACAGAAATCCTGCAGCGCCCGCAAGGTTCACCTTGCTCAAGAAAGCACATGTACAGGCCCGTCTGAAGTTTGCTGATGAACATTTGAATGATTCAGAGGAGAACTGGGTGATAGTGTTGTGGTCAGATGAGACCAAAATCAAGCTCTTTGGCATCAACTCAACTTGCTGTGTTTGGAGGAGGTGGAATGCTGGCTTTGACACCAAGAACACCATCCCCACCGTCACACATGGAGGTGAAAACATTATGCTTTGGGGATATTTTTCTGCTAAGGGAACCGGACAACTGCACCACATCAAATCTTGGATGAGAACCTCCTTCCCTCAGCCAGGGCATTGAAAATGGGTCATGGATGGGTATTCCATCATGATAATGACCCAAAACACACAACCAAGGCAACAAAGGAGTGGCCAAGCCAGTATCCAGACCTTAATCCCATAGTGTCACGGTAGTATACCCCAACACGCAAGATTTAGTCCAACAATTGACAATATAGAGCAGATACGTCTTACCGGACCTTAGAATGGCCGGACTTGACGTAGAGCAGAGAAAGACAGAGTCAGGAACTAGCCGAGGTCAAGGGTACAAAGAGACAGCGAAAACAAGAATTAGCCAAGGTCTGGTACACAGTAATCAGTAAGCCGGCAAACAAGACAAAACAGGGATAAAGAGATAAACGGAGTCAGTTACAAAGCCAAGGTCAAGTACGAAAAAAATCACAACTGAACACAACAAGCGCTAAAGGGAACTGAAAGAGAAACCATAATAGGGCAGGGAGTTAAGGGAGAGGTAAGTATAAATACCCTAGCATTTAATTTGATTGACCCCTGTCATATCCACGACCCCTGAATGTGAGTGTATGGGGAATGTAGGATGACAGGGGCCAATGGGAGACCGTTTCAGTTTTCGGCTCCCACTGTCCCTTTAAGAGCATGCTCCGAGACGCGCGGCGCGCTCTTAGAGCTAGGCGGGACACGTGACCGCATCTCGCGGTCAGTGCCCGCCGACATCTGAGCCCTGAGTGAGCCGCGCGCGGCGGGGATAGAGGACCACGGCTGGCCCCCGGATAAGGTAAGTACCGCTACACATAGAAAACCTGCCAAACGTCAACCTCGAAACCTTAATGACTTGGAGAGGATCTGCAAAAGAGGATTGGGACAAAATCCCTCCTGAGATGTGATCAAACCTGGTGGCCAACTACAAGAAATGTCTGACCTCTGTGATTGCCAACAAGGGTTTTGCCACCAAGTACTGAGTCGAAGGGTTCATATACTTATTTCACTCATTTACATGCAAATCAATTTTTTTACATGCTTTTTCTGGATTTTTTTTTGTTTTTTGTTATTCTGTCCCTCACTGTTAAAATACACATACCATTAAAATTATAGACTGATCTTTGTCAGTGGGCAAACATTCAAAATTAGCAGAGGATCAAATACTTTTTTCCCTCACTGTATTATAATTAGAGTATTGTATGGGTAACTCTGTATTGGATGGTGATGACTACCATTAGGTGTTGAGTACATGAGGATAAATGGGCAGCTGCTACAAGCCAGGAGATAGTGCCTACAGATTTAAACAGTGGAGTCAAATTTTGGGGGAGGAGTGTGTAGCATCCCCATCTTAAAAGTTCACCAGCCACAACTGGTAAGTCTGTTCATAATATCTTAACCCACTAGCGTTTGATCAATGCATTATCATTATTATTTTAAGTCTCCAAATAGTTTTTGCTCACTTGTGCCATTACAGAGAGAACCAGTTCCAAAGCATATCAGACTAATCCCACCCATTAAGGCAGTCCATGATCAAAAGTTCTCTCTGCAGAGAGATACAGCAACCCAGGACAATTGTTTCGGCCTCGTCAGCAAGGTGTAGCTAATACCCCTCTAGGCAGAGGAAGCACAAGGTCCATGTCTAGAATACCCTTTTGAACTTGGGCCAAGTTGATGCATTGAAAGAAAAACAGAAACTTAAAGGAACTCAGTAGCTTGCTTTTTGGTAAATCCACTGGAACTGGCTCTCTCTTTAATGGCACAAGTGAGCAAAAATTATTTTGATACCCGAGTGGGGACTGAGTGACAAAATAAACTGAAAAAAGTTTACTCACTGGTAGAACAAAATTAGATTTGCTCAATACATTAGGTGTAATTGTTTTTTTTTTTTTTTATTTAATTTAATTTTTATTGTATTAATCTGCCGCACCTCAGAACATAAAATCATGTAGTTACCTCACAAACTAACAATAAATGTTTTGCTGTTCAGGAAAGATCTATATGCCAAGATAGCATCTGCCCTTGGCAGCTGAGGCTACAAGGCAGACAATAGCATTGAAGACAGACTCAGCCCACTCCTACAAGTGGTACAGATATGGTACCAAGCTATGCGATGTCTGCAAGGCAGGAACATCAGGTAACATAAGGAGACATATTGCAGAATGCTTTAAACAGTTACAGTTTAAAGGAAACACCACAATTTTATAATGTATAGGTCATAGTAGTGTTAAGTTTAAACACCTAAGAACACAGAATGAGAGGTCATTCAAACAGGAATTACAAAGAGTTATGATAGTGAGTCAATAGTAGGCATTAGAGATAGGTGATAAAGAGCATGTAGTGTAGAGTATCAGATAGATGTAACCCCCAAAACTAATTTCCTTTGTTTTAGCTGCTTTGCATATAAAATATTCAAATTATAAGTAGAAAATTATAGGAAACCATTAAAATAAAATAGGAAAACATATAGCCATGCTAGCAGGTGTGATGTTATCATCAGGTCGTGACTGGTGATTAGCCCTGGTAAGGAAGTCCAGCATCAGTCTATACCCAGGTTTGGGAGTGTGTGGAGGCTATTGTGGAACACTGCTAGATAGGAGTTAATCCTGGCCTCCCTACAGCCCTGGACCATTTTGAAGGCAAGCAACACAGGCCACAGACCAGGGGACTCTGACATGAGGCCAAGTCTTTCCCTGTTGGGGAATGGCAGAAGCTCCAGGTGGTATAGCGCCACCAGTGGTGATGGTTCTTCAGTCTCTGTGGTAAAGGCAGGTGGATTGTGTCCCATTTGGGGCCTGCTCACCTCTCTTCACTCTTGACTTTGTACTTCCTCCCGGTTCTGAGGTGATGTTACCGCAGTGTTTGCTGTCAGCTTTGCAAAAAATCTTTCAAAGAGCTTGTCTTCATTGGTGAGTTGGCGCTCGAATGCGCCTTGTATGGTTGTCGTAGGCTGTGTCGAGCTATGCACATGAAGCGTAGAAGCATCTACCATCTTAGGACAGCCTGCAACACTGTGCCGTGCAATGTCAGCAGCTTGTAATCGACAGAAGTATATGGGGTCAGTTCCAGACAGAAGAGCACAGACAATATACATCTTGTCCGACCGGCTGACAAGCTCTGCCCCTCTGTAAGTGTTTTTTTTATCCCCACCAAGGATATAGGTGTTCAGGAATTCAGCAGCTTTTAATTAGGTCCAATAAAAAAGTACTTTTATTTTAAACAAGAGAAAATAAAACATTAAAATATAAAATAAACAATATTAAACATTATAATAAACATATTATAATACACTAAACATGTTTCACCATAAACTGTGTTTACACCCTGTTCCAAATTATTATGCAAATGATATTTTTTCTCATCTACCTAAATAATTGATGTAAATAACAGTCAGCATAATTCTCATGTTATCAACTATTAAGAGTACAATTCAAATTTCATTGAACAAACCTCCTAATGATAACAGTATTTTTTTTTAAACATAAAAAACTAACAATGCACTGTTTCAAATTATTACGCACAGTAAGTTTCAAAACACTTTATAGGTTGTAAAGAACTGAAAATTGTCATTTGTTGTGTTTGCATCATATTTACTAAAATCAAAAGATATTTCAATCAAACTTATAACAACATTTTAACTTTTTAAGCATTTTAACAGGTCACGTTACAATTTAACATAGGACCCCTTATTTGATAGCAGCTTCACAAGTCTTGCATCCATTGAACTTGTGAGTTTTTGGACAGTTTCTGCTTGAATTTGTTTGCAAGATGTCAGAATAGCCTCCCAGAGCTGCTGTTTGGATGTAAACTGCCTCCCACCCTCATTGATCTTTTGCTTGAGGACCCTCCAAAGGTTCTCAATAGGATTGAGGTCCTTTTATCCCCATACCAGCCATTGATGCAGAGGTATTCTTTGCAGCATGAGATGGTGCATTGTCATGCATGAAGATGATTTTATTATGGAAAGCATAATTCTTCCTTCTGTACAAGGAAAGAAAGTGGTTGGTCAGAAACTCAACTTTGCAGAGGTCATCTTTACACCTTCGGGGACCCTAAAGGGGCCGACCAGCTCTCTTCCCATGATTCCGGCCCAAAACATGACTCTACCACCGCTTTGCTGACATTGCAGCCTTGTTGGAACAGGGTGGCCGTCCACCAACCATCCACTACTCCATCCATCTGGACCATCCAGGGTTGCACGGTACTCATCAGTGAACAGGACTGTTTGAAAATTAGTCTTCATGTATTTTTATGCCCAATGCAGCTGTTTCTGCTTGTGAGCATTGGTTAGTGGTGGCTGAATAGAAGGTTTATGCACAGTTGCAAGACTCTGGAGGACTCTACACCTTGATGTCTGTGGGACTCCAGAGGCACCAGCAGCTTCAAATATCTGTTTGCTGCTATGTAATGGTATTTTAGCAGCTGCTCTCTTGATCCGATGCATGGATCTGGCAGAAATTTTCCTCAATGTGCCTTTATCTGCACAAACCCATCTGTGCTCTGAATCAGCCACAAATCTCCTAATAGTGCGATGATCACGCTTATGTTTTTGTGAAATATCTGATGTTTTCATACCTCGTCCAAAGCATTGAACTATTTCACTCTTTTCGGCAGCAGAGAGATCCTTTTTCTTCCCCATATTGCATGAAAATGGTGCTCTGCTTAAAATGTGGAACACCCTTCATTAGTAGTTTTTCCTTAAATTGGGCTCACCTGACAATCTAATTATCACAGGTGTCCGAGATTGTTTTCAGTGATCAAAAGAACCCTGAGACACAATGCCATCCACGAGTTAAACTGAAAAACAAAATATTTAATCTTTGTGACACTTACATAGAAAATATATGATAAAATATTTAATCTTTGTGACACTTACATAGAATTTGCATAATAATTTGGAACAGGGTGTACAGGCTAAAATAACCTGAACAGCCCTTAAAGGAGTGTAAAATTTAAAAATAACGATTGTATGAAGTCATAGTCATGTGACTGCAAGTTAATTAACATAAAGATTCACAAAGTTAGAAAAACATTAAAATTACTTAGATAAGGTATGTGCAGAACATTTATTTACTTAATTATGGGAGGAGAAATTAATAATCCATAATGGTGCCGTGAGCTGTGACACGTGACCAGCAAGGCCGCGCCACTGACCAAAATAAACAGCCACTGACATAAGTCAGAAGCTATATATGATGTTATAGAAGCTCCCTGACTAGGTGGAAATGTGAGACAAGGTGTTAATAATGGAGTTGAGTAATAATGGAGTCTAATAGAAAGTCACGACTCCAACAAAATGGCTGAAAGTATAGGGGGCTAACAAAACAATGGTGGCTGGACTGGCTGAATACAGGATCTGATTGGAACCAAAGTAGAAGGCAAAAGGAAGAATTCAGGGTCTTCAGGGGCCAAAATTGAAGGCTACTGGTAAAAAATGAAGATAGAGGATAAGTTATAATAATCCTCATAAACTAAATTAAGGGGAAAGCAACTAAAAATACAAATATAAAACCTCTACATAATATAATAATGGAAATAGAGAAATAATAATAAAAAAAAAAAGAAAATAATAAATAATAAACAGAGCTAATGTATTGGTTCTCCCCCTTTTTTTTGTTACATTTTATCCCAAGGACATATTGGGTGCTACACCAAACCCTCCTGTTCTGACAAAAAACAAAACCTAGAATTTGAGCTATATGTATGTTCATTCATGATTTACGACTTTAAGTGCACCCACTATTATTATATATAATTTTGTTTAGGAGAAACAGGGCCATCATTTTACATCATATATGTATAAATGAAACACTACTTAATATGAATATAATCTAAAAAAAGTGTGAGAAATTAAGACATGTTATTTTCCAAGTTTAGCATGGCTTTTTAACTGTGAATGTCATAATACTGTTAGCTTTTACTGCAATTAAACACACATATGTGAATGTTGTAATGTCCCACAATGTAAAGGTTTCATGGTGTTTTGGAAAGTTATAGAGTTACAGGGTCAACAAAAAAAAAAAACTTGCCCATTTCAGTTTTCACGCATTGAAATTTGCCAAATAAATTTGCTGAGCCTATGTTGTATTTAAGACCATATGGCAACCTAGGAATGGGAATTACCCCAATTTGAAAAAGTAGACAACCCAGGGTAATCAAAATGGGATATTTAGTTATCTTAGTTTCATTTACCCATTTGGAAAATGAACGGATCTATATATATTATTTTTGTTTTTGCAACTTAAATGTACTCACATTTGTTATCATACTTGTTGTTCTCTTAATATTTCGATTTCCCTGCTTGTGAGAAGGGCTGGCTTATCTGTTTTGTAATTGCATTAATTATTAGACTGTATCCAAACTTATCAATATGAACAGTGAACAGAAAATAAAGATTTCTATAAAATTCACAGGACTTAAGGATGAAAGGGGTTAAGGATGAATTACTTCAGTTACTATTGTATATAAACTCAAAAGAGCCTCAGTCGTGATAGGGAAAATTAACTTTAAAGGCATTAATTATCTGTAGATCACTTGAATCTTATTATTATTATTAAACACCTTTGGAAGACAGATAATTGAGCAGTGTGAATAATCACATACAGTAATAGCATTATATTCTGCATTTGAAATGTCTTGCTATTATGATTCCATGAAGGTAAAAATTGTATCAATTATTATGTCTCAACAATTGTTATCAAATATCTCATACATTTTTATGTAGTGGAAAATTTCAGGTGTTACTAGCTGTATCCTGAAAATCAAATACTTCCAATGTCTACTAGAAAATTTTAAAAACCTATTGTGAGTGAGCAGATTCTCTAGGCAAAGAAACCACATCCATAGTGCTGCCAGGTCTATTGGATTTTCTGCAAAAAGGTTTGGAGAAAGGATTAAGTCTTAGCTCCTAAAAGGTTCAATTGTCTGCCTTCTTGGCAAATACTAATGCACAGTGGTCACATGATCTAACAATAAAGTACTTTATGAGGGGAGCATTGAGAATTAGACCTTCATTACAGACATTTGTTCTAGCTTGGGATCTAGCTATGGTTCTCCATAAGCTTGCCAGTTCCCCATTTGAACCAATGGACTCTTTGTCTATATGGGATTTAACATTAAAACGTGTTTTCCTGATTGCCATCAAGTCTACTTGAAGAGACTTTAAACTGCATGCACTTTCTGAATTCCCATTTTTTTAAATTATGTGAAACATGGCAATATATCAATCCTTAGACCAGTTCTGAAATTCTCGCCTAAAGTAGTATCAAAATGTCATCTAAATCAAGAAAATATTAATCCTTCCTTAATTTCATGACTATCTTCAGATGAAGAATCATTTTGGCATAACCTTGGTATCTTGAGAGAACCAAGGACATTTGAAAATCTAACAGGCTTTTCCTAATTCCAAGTTGCTATCACAATGGTATGTTGGCTTCAATTCCCACAATACGTAGATGGTTTGCATCAAGTTACAAAAGGCATATAAAGTAGCAGGAAAGTCTGTTCTTGAAGCAATCAAGGCTCAGTCTATCAGAGCTGTCTCAGCATTTTGGGCATCTGTGGTGGACACCTCCATGGAAGAGATTTGTAAGGCTGCAGTCTGGTCTTCATCCAACTGCTTAATAAGGCATTATCGCCTGGATGCTTCAGGATCCTCTACATCAAGCATGTCAAACTTGCAGCCTGCAAGCCGTATGCAGCCCACATTGACAATCTTTGCCGCCCGCCTGCCCTGGGGCAGCTTTGTGCTTTGGCTGTGATTAGCTGCAAGACAGGAAATATCTTTCCTGTCTGCACTCCCACAGCCGTTCGCATGCTCCGAGAGCGCTAAGCATTAGTCCATGCCAGCTGCCAGATATGCGCATACAGTGTATGAAGTCATATCTGGCAGCTGCAGGGCACAGAGTGGCTATCTGTCTGCAGAGCAGGCCAACTATTCCCCCTTCACTCCTGCTCACAGTCCCAGAGGGTCATCTAGCCTGCTTGAGCATAGAAAAGCAAGGCTGGAGCTGGAGGACGGGCGGCTCATCTTAAGGTAGGTGAAGAGGGGCTTGGGGGTCCTTCCTGTGTAGAGTGTAAAATTGAGGAGGAGGG